GTGTGCATACCCGGCATGAATGCTGAAAGGTTTGGGAAGCTTTGTTTCGTGAAAGGCTGGCAGAGGGCGTGGCTACTGGGTATTCACACGTCACAGTACCCAGGAAGTAAATGAGAAATCTCCAACGAGGCGTTTTGGGGAGGTCTTTTCTGTGTTAGAGTTTTACTCCCTACAGGGTGTACTTTGAGGGTTTTTTGACACTGCAGACCGTTTACATGCATAAAAACTTTCATAACACACAAGGGAACGGGTAATAACCGGAAAAGCATGACATGGGACCTTTAAACACCCCTCGCAAACAATACATACTTACAATACTTTTTTTGACAACTAGTGCAATAAGCTACACTGCAGCAAAGCAGGGGCAACAATTGCTTTTCTATTCTCCATTGAATTATATATAATATTAGACGTGTCGCAGGTCCAAACTACACCACTTGTGTTACCAGAAATACACCCAACAAGTGAGAACATTCCTCCAGATTTGACATGTTCTCTTGCTTGTGCAAATAAAGCTTTCTCAAAGTGTACAGTTCTTTGTGCACAACATTTTAGAACAATGTTATCAAATGATCCTAATGCAAAGGGTTGGGGAAATAATGGGAGTGCTGCTGTGTCTATAGAATCATTCCACTCAGAAGCCTCACCTCTTGACAAGTGCGTCCAGCTTGTCATCTCGTTTTTGCAGGAAGGCCAGGCATTTCTGGAGCACACAGCTGATGTAGTGCATCTTCATCGCCAGGACCTCGTTCATGTCCTGCTGCTTCACACACTGCTCACACAGCAAGTCCATCACCTGGTGACACTTCTCCAGAGCTGCCACGTTCACCAGCACAGGGTTCTCCTTCACCAGCAAGACTATCTGGACAGGCGGAGGGGAAAGTGTAGTAGGTCAGCAGATCACTAAAGATATGGTTCATCCTCTGGGCACCAATAATATGTGAGTTATTCAATAGGATAGAAATGTAACTGAACACCATAATTATGAATTATGTTATGTTACATTGAAGCTGAGTGCAGAGCAGCTTTAAGTATTTTGGAAAAATGTAACAAGCGTTAAAAAAAGCTCTTTATACTCAATAATAATGTATTTTCTTAATTTCTTGGCAGGTACAGCCAAGGTATGAGAGCAACCCATCTGGGTACTTTCCCTATTTGTCATGGCCTCACATCTTTTTGGGTGAAAAATATCTGGTGTCTTTTGACCGGCTGTAAATATAGATTTGAAGGTCTTTGCCAATCAAATTAAAAAAATTAAGAAAACCATAAATGTTGTATCTACACGAAGCCCAAATATGATGGTCAGTCAGGCAAAAAATATACTATGGTAAAATTAAAGCTATAGTGGATTGATATTTTTAATTTCTATCTAACAGTGGATAACTCTTAATCTGGCATTTTCCTTTGATTGTCAGTGGTTCATTACCTTGACTTTAAACACCAATGTTAACTGTGGTGATTGACGTTAGCCTCATTAGCATCATTATGTAGCTGTGAGAAAGTGTTTCCCAAAAACCTACGTTCTGGATCATTTTTGTTGTAAAGACATTATGAAACTACATTTTAACGTTTTGCGCCAATTCTTTGTTTTCACCGAAAAATGGGCGGGGCCGTCTTTTGAGGTGCAGTGATGTAGTGCTGCTCCCATCGTTTGGATGGATAGCCATTTCATGTGGGATGGATGTTCAGCATTCCCAGAGCTTGAACCCTAATGACTTTGCACTTCACTTCCCCATTAGTGCTGCCATCCTCAGTAGACCTGTGAGGAAGCCTCACCTTGACCGGGTTGAGGTTGGTGGTCATGATGATCCTGTGCAGGGGCCCAGCCAGCGTGGGGGGCAGCCTTGGCTCCCTCTCCAGCCCATGTGGCCTGGTGTAGAACTCCAGCTTTGCGAGCGAGAAGAAGTTATTGATCACTGTGACACAGTCGTGCTGGCCTGTGAGGAGAGAGCACAGGTTAACATGAACCCCCCCCACAGTCACCTGACAGCCAATCTCAGCTTGTCTCACCAACAAACGCTGCCATCTGAGCCGCAGTGCGACCCACAGAGTTCACTTGGGTTGTCTCTGCACCTGCATTCAGCATCATGGAGGTGATATCTGTCCTCCCTGAAAGGTTAATGACAGTCTAGTTCAGGGGTAAGCAACCTTTACAATCAAAAGAGCCATTTTCCCCTGCCATCAAGTAAAGTTTGTCCACTGTGCAAAAAAAAGAGGAGCTTTAGCTTTTATTTATTACTATGTAATACTTTGTGAAAGCCACATTGAGCTAAGGCAGAGCGGATGAAGGGCCACATGTAGCTCAAGGGCCGCGTGTTGCCTACTGCTTTCCTAGTTAAATCAGATTTAATAATACAAAAAAACGTCGAATGTATGCTGAAAACCTGACTTCACAGTTTTACCTGACAGGCCAGCAAACATGAGAGCAGTGTATCCGTATTCGTGCTGGTTGCAGTTGACGTTGGCCCCATGCAGCAGCAGCAGACGACACATGTCCGCCTTGCCCTTATAGGCTGCATGAATCAGGGGAGTCATGCCATACTTAGGAAACCAAGCAGAGACACAACATTACATGAGGAGATGTTTTTATGTATAAAGGAAAAAGAAACATGTCAGGTATAAAGCAGCATGAATTGATTTGATGGCCACAAGCTGAAAAAACAACATATGAAGCTTAGCACAAGTTCAACCAGCATCTTTACTCATTCATTCACATATTCCCAGTTTACTACTCTCTCTCCTCTCAATCATTGATCAACAGCTAAACCTATCACTTCGCCTCTATTCCCTTCCTCACAGTTGTCATTTCAGCTGACTCAATGCAGCCCTCCTCCCCCACTTCCACCTTCCTTTCTTCAAAAATCCAGGGTCAAGGTTAAACTACTCCTCTTCAGACCGACCTCCATCAATCCCTTCATGCCTCCACCACCACCAGTGTCTAGACCCCAGGGGGGGTTTCATCGGTTCGGCTTTTCCCCTCCCGAATGATATTCCAGCAGGGTCTAATCGCCAAACACCATTACATGCATCTGTGTATTCCCGGCAATACATTTATATTGTTGTATCAAAAGAAAACTTGTCTCTCCTGATTGAATTACATACAGTGGCGTAACTATCGATGGTGCAGCCAGCACAACGCACCGGGGCCCATAGCCGGCCATGCAAAAAACTAAAGAAAATAATATTATTTTAATTTCTTTTTTGGGGACCAATGGCATTGACCGGTTCACGCAGTCTTCAAAGTAACCAAGCAACCTAAATGAATGTGTAATTTGTCTGTCCAATGACCTTGCTCCCTTTCATGTCATGTGATACCTTGCATGACGAGCGAACCGTTTAATCAACCTATACTGTACTGTAGCTAGCAGCAGCAAGTTTCGGCAGCATTGTAAAAAATGTAATAGCTTGCATTTATAATGTACAGCAAACTAAAGCACAAGAGCAGCGCTCAATAGAGAAAGGACAAGAGAGAATAAGGAGATGTAACAGCTAAACTGACAAAATTACAGTTTTTGTCATACATCGTCCTCAAAATCAAGCGCTAACGTTAGCAATGTTGACATGCAGCCGGAGCCGGAGGCTAACGATAGCTCACCTGCCTCACTACCATCATTGCCATCTAGCTCCACAAGTGAAGCTGTATCCGTGGCCGTGGCTGTGCAACCTTCTTCTCCAGCCAGCCAGGAGGAGAGGCATTTGGCTGTGTTGGTGGTCCAACAGTTCCCCCAAGGGCCCCAACCGATTCTATGGCGCTATTGAGACCCCCTACGCCAGTGGTTCTCAAAGTGGGGGGCGCGCCCCCCCAGGGGGGCGCAGAGGCATGACAGGGGGGGCGCGAGAGACCAGGAGGAAAAATGGTTATAAAAAAAAAAAAACA